GTTTCATTTATCTATTTCTGCTTTTATTTCTAATTATGTCAGTGTCGGTCCTCCATACTGCAGAACTTGAAGAGGTAGTTCAGTGGCTGAATCAGGTGTGTTGGAGCAGAGAAACAAGTAAAACGTGCAGGGCTGCGGCCCTCCAGGACCAGGACTGCCCACACCTGGGTTAGATTGATGTTCGCTACTAAAAAATCAAGGCAGGATTAAGTTGTTTTTAAAATACAGGGGAAAAGTGATCTTTTTACACTCAAACCATTTACACTATTACAGTAATATGTTGATGTTTCAAACTAAAAAACACTGCTCTGTAAATAACATCTACTGTTCAGATTAACATGAATGAGGTCATGTTTAAACTCCACAATTATGTTGGCAACAGCATTTAAGTTCAAATCTGTTAGTAGCAGAATCTTTGTGTTTAAAAAAATCTGACCTATGAAACTAAATTGTGACCAATTTGAAACAAAAAAGGGATAAATTGAGACTAGATTACAAAAAATGTCTGCACACCACTTGTAGAAATGTTGCCATTTATCAATACAAAACTTGCTAAACTATTCCAGTTTAGTGTCTCCAGCATAATGCCAGACAAGTCAGAGAAAGTCAAAGGCCTCTGAACAACTTCAGAACAGATTTTTACAGAAAGTTTAGATGTAGAAAAAATTATCTCAACTTAAAACTGTCAAAAGCTGAAACAAACAACTCCCCCCAACTGTTTATAAGCATCAAAGAGATGTGAGAGCTATGAAGTAGGCCACGCCCCCAAGCAAGGCAGGTAAACAGAGGTGAAATCCTCTCCACTTTCATTAAAAATAATAAGAAACAAAACAGAATCTCTTCATGAGGGCTCAGTTCTAAAACATCTGAGTTATTTTCTGTGTCCTGTTGGCATCCTTCACTCAGAGGAGATATTGCCAAACATGTGGACAAGGCTGAGAGAGAACCTGAACCACAGCCTGTTTGAAATGCTTTTACACAGTAGAGTTGTTTCTGATGAAATTAAATGATAAAAGTGACTAGGAGGGAAAAGATCTAAAGTTAAACTTTGCTGTAACTTATTCAGACAATAAATACCTTTTAGTGTTAAAACCGTTTCATTCTAAGAACTAAAGCAACATAAATACAGAGACGGCTGCAAGCTGCTCCTCTCGTTCAGCTAACTGCAGCTAATGTTAGCATCTAGCTTCACGGCTACGACTCATCAGTTAACGTCCATCTGCAGGTTTATCTTCTGACAGCTTCAACGTTGTCTCCAGTTCCTTTTCAAACTAGTTCTAACAAATAAAATGCTTTATTTGAGCACCGCTCCGTCTTCTGGTGGATCTCAGTCAAAGTGTAGTTGAGTATGGGATAAATCTTGTGTCAGCAGGAACTGAATTTGAATTGCTCAGATTGAATCTGAATGTGCATAATTTGAAATTGAATGCATTGGTTTGAAAACAAATTTCACTAAATTGAAACTGAATTTAATGAGTTGCATCTGAATTAATTTGCTTTGAAACTGTATTTTGTTTTATTAAAAATATTGATCAGATTCTGCTGCTGACTGATCCATGATGTGATGTAAATGTAACAGTTGAAATTATTCACTGCAATAAAATAACTGTTTTTTCTCTTCACTTTTACAGTGGATCACATCAACTCTGTTACAAACAGAAGGAAAGCTTCACCAAAGTGAAACATAAATCTGTGGATCTGTGTTTGATTACTCTGCCTGGCTTTCTCAAGGACCAGGATGTGACACAAAAATCTGAATTATGGAACTGAAAGTGAAAGTAGTCAAACTGAGTTTTTAATAAATCAAAATACAGTTTCAAACCATTAAATTCAGTTTCAACTTAGTGAAATTTATTTTCAAACCAGTGCATTAAATTTCTAATTATACACATTCAAATTCAATTCCTGCTGGCACAAGATTTATCCCATAGTCGAGACCCAAGTCCCGCCCCTGATCGACTAGCAGGCCTGTCTAATGTATTTAAATGACAGCTGCGCCTCTGATAGGTCCAGAGAAATGTTTGTTAAATCTCTGAAGTTGTGGACATGTGTTGTAGTTAGTTATTGTGTGTGTGTGTGTGTGTGTGTGTGTGTGTGTGTGTGTGTGTGTGTGTCTGACCCTGCTTTGGGACAGCAGGCTGTAGCAGAGCTGCTGATGCCTGACTCCACGTTCTCCACCACCAAGTATTTGTCTGAAGAGCTGAGCTTCTCTTCATCACTGAAACAGACAAGGAAACACAAACGGATCAGAACCTGATGCCAAGCATCATTTTCACCACAGAAACACAAAACAAAAAGGGAAATGGAAAACTGGAGTTGTGCTAAACTGACAAAGAACACAAAAGGATGGTTGTGTGTGGATGGAAGAAGTCTGAATGTACAGCAAATGGAGAAACAAACGATTTGTGCTCAGGTTTTAGAGCAGACTAATGGTTGGCACACAGACTGAGTTCAACATCTTTAGCCTCTAGTTGTTCTCATCAGCCGTCAGTCTTGCTTTGTCTCAGAGAACCACCAATAATCTTGATGAGGACTCAATCAAAGCAAAACACCTGCAAGCATCCAGATATAATGAGACGCTACACAAACCACTGAGCGCTGTGTTCATGGTGTTTTAAAACAGCCATGTTTTTTCTTCACAGAATGAAACAAAAATAGGATTTTAGAGAACAGATATGAGTTTTAGAGGACTCAAACTGTTTATAGCATGAATAACGTTTAGTTAACCTACAGCTAGTCTGAAAATACTTTTTCCTTTATTTCCAAGCATCTGCCAACACTGCTAAAAACAAACAAAAACTAAAAACATGCTAAATTAAAGCCAAGCTTTTGTAAACCGTGTGCTAACAGAGGACACTGCTGTACAAAAAAGGGAAACATGCAAAGATCACTACAGTCCAAAAAATAAAATAAACTGTGTAGAACTAAAACAGTCCAGTTCAAATTACTCCAACAAAATTATTTCATTTCCTGTGTTTGCTTCATGTGTTCATCTAGTTATCTTTTTAAATCTTGAATAACTCTATTAACTATTATAATTTAATGTTCATTCATTTCAGAATCAACTGAACATCCCAGCAAGTTGAATAGAAGGTTTGACCGTCCGTCATTAAACAGAGGTGGAGGCCTCCGTTTTCAGCTGTCCCCCTCCTACAGTGCTGCTATTGCCAGTATCACTTCACCCCCTGTTAACAA